GGTATCTAAGTAACACCAAAAAAACCTACAGGGATATTCGGCGAGATTATGGCAGGTAACCAGTTAGTTGCTAGCAACATCCGGGACTCAAAAAACGATAAACATATTAAAAATCTCAGTAACACCGACAGCTCCATAATGATAGCCCGGCTAATCCTGTTACTAGGATAAACGAGACGAAATCATGCGCATTTCAGTTATAAATATCAGGAAGCCAAGACAACCCGGGCAATCTATGTGGGGATCCCATTTTAGCGACTGTTATTAGAATCCTTCAATCAAGGGCTGTAAGCTTCCAGATACCTATTTGGTGCCAATTATCTATTAGGTGCATGTGCGCCAAACTAATGTGCGTCGGCAAGGCGAGCAACATACCCCTCGGATTTTACTTTCTCACAAGGTTGTAATGATATCCTGCACGCCATCCAGCTGACTGTGAGTTAATCTGGTTATCAACGGGAGACAATAACTCTTTAAAAGTATAGGTAAGCAAAAAAGAAAGAAAATACCAAGCCCAGCGAGTTTCCTTTGATTGAGGCGGTACGCAAAAACTGCACAATATCCTCCAGAGGCAACATAACTGACAAATTACTTTTGATCCGTCGATTTAAATGTGTCAACATTTCCACCCCCTTAACAGTAAAGTGTCATATGTGGTACCAGAGAAATACAGGATATTATATGTGAAAAGATGTGCAGTAGAGGGGAGAAACGAATTAGATAACAGAAATATAAAAGAAATGGAATGTTTCGATCCACTAAATCGTATGCATGGCCTTTTAGTATCAGAAATGGAGCCAGTCAGTAAGAAGACTTTGAATTAAATAATTAATATTTATACATCCACCTCAACAGACATATTTATACATTCCCAGACGTAGGCAGATTAGGATTGTCGGCTTTCTTACATTTATTGGTTTAGACAGATCTTTTTCTTTTTTCTCCATCAAATTTTCCCGCTTTTCCTTGGACCCGCTTTTTCTGACAATATTAATATAATGCTGCGCTTTAAAATACTGATAAAAGAGATTTGAAAAATGTAAAAATTAAGCAAAAACTGGCGAAAAGAAGACGAAAAAGAGGAAGACGAAACTATAGCTTTTGGTATTAGGTGTGTATAGTTTGATTAACACGATCACAGGCAATTTTCCCATGAAATGAGTGATGCAAGAGTAATGTTGCTTTGCCGCCATAACGGAATAAATTCTTTCGGGAGATCAACGGGAATACATTTAGAAAATTATTCGAATTTTATTCAAACAAAAGAAAATCTCAATTGCGATTCCGATGAAATATTTTTCTTCTAATTCTTCGTCAAACAATCTTTTGAAAAAAAAAGTATGCAAAATTTACCTTATCACGTACAGCGCTCTCACCAGTGGACGTACACTCGATGATTTCCAGAAGATATTTCCGAACGAATGCCTCCAGTTTTTGGTCATTCTCGATTGTGGCCAAACGAAGGAATAAACGTTCCACTGAAAAAAATAAAAAGAAAATTGTCCAGGGAGGTAACATTTGCAGGATTTGATTGTTGATATGTCCCGTATTTAAATCCGAATCCTAGAAATCCCGTAAGCTTTTTTTGCCTCAGAAATGTGCCAAAAGGATCACAACAAAATTTATCTATTTATTCAACTAAACTGTATCCAGAAGAAAAACCAGAGATTTTCACCGAAAGTACAAACTGTCGAGAAAAAAACCTCTCCAGAAAATGAGGACAAAGCAGAGAACTTTCACCGCAGGCATATCAGAGTACACTTCTAGTGTAAGCTCAAAAGTGCTCAGAATGAGAAAAAGTAGAAAAAACTCACATTGGAAGCAGATTTCTGCACTTGTCCCGTTCACAAGAGCCATTTTCCACCTCTGCAATATCATTCATTTGTAGCTGAGGATATAGTGTAATATGTGTGTGTATGTGTGTGCACGTGGTGTATGTGTTACATTGCACAGCGCATGACTAGAAACACACAAAAAATGCAATTTTTGGAAGTTAATTTTTAATATTTTCAGTTTGTTACACGCGACAAAAACAGGACAAAGAAGTGCAGCAAGAAAAACTGCTGACCGAAGTAATGTGACAAGAATGAGAGACAACAGATGGACAAAGCGGAGTACTGAATGGCACTTAACGCAGCGTTAAATGAACAGAAGGAATAAGAACTTATGCAATAGAAGGATCCAACTGAACGGTTAGTTGGAAGTGTGTGAAAGAGAGAAGCTCAAACTAAAGAATTATGAAGGTGCATGACAGCTGCATCAATGACGGGATGAAAAGTGACGATGGAAGAGTAACAGGTCACCAAAGTATCAAAGCACAAAAGCCCTGTAGTGGCTCAAAAATTTAATGCGATTCTTTTAACTCCATTATGTCTGAGACTATGGCTTCATAGAGAATTTTGGGCGTCGCATACAAAACTGTTACTAAAACCCCGGAGATGGGG